TCACTACAGCCCTCCGACTGCCTATCAGGAACGGGCAAGTGTGGTTCATCTCCACAGACGTCCAAAGACTGAAATACAGTGACGAGTTAAACACAAAGTAACGTCAGCGTAGAAATGAATATCACCAAACAAAGACCACAGAGGAGATAACAAGGAATAAAGCTGACATATCTACTGAGCCAAGACCAAAAGAAAAGTAATCCAAAGACTACACTTCCTCTTAGAACTGACTTTAGATCAGTGTTTATCAAAGACTGGCTTGGGTCCCACAGACAGGTCACAGGAGATTATCACAAGATGGTAAATAAGGCTGAGTAGAGGGCTCAAATATGTAATCATGTTTTAAAAGTGGGCTGTTGTCCTTGAAGATTTGTATAACACTGGTTTGGGTGAAGGAAGAAATTTACAGCTGTGAAATATTTAAAATAACTCAGGTAAAAAAAAAGTCTTTGCATTTCTGTGCTTTAATTTATTGCTTTTTTTTTAAATAATTTGAGTCTTGAATCTATTTATTTGGTTAGTACATTGTTAATGTTTGCTGTTAGTGCTGTTTTTCCCTGCTGGAAGACTGAGGAGATTGGGTCTAAGGTATGTTATAGTTTACTTTGTGTGGAAGTGAATTGAGTGAAAGAGAACAATATTAGCACTGATCCACTGGGCACAAAACTGTTGCTTTATTGTGTTATTTATTTTTTATTTAAAAAAAGGGACAAACAGGTATTTTGACACAAGGGACTTTCGTATTTATTTGCCAAAATTACATAAAAGAAAAGGACGTGTAGAAAACATCCACTTGGTTTGACAGTTAACAACTCGATTGATTAACTGTTTTGGTTATTAAGGCCTCAGACCATAAACTGCACTAAATAAAAACCAAATATAGCTTAAAAAAAGATTAACAGCACTTGCTACTAGCTGTGACTTTCTTTATCGTTTTCCATTTCTGTTCACAAGGCTTTACTGCAAAACTTTATCCAAATGTTAGTTCGGGTACTTGAGCATTAGAACAAAAGACATGATGTTTGGTTTTCTACTTGAAATAGCACTGAAATAAAAGAATGGAGCCAGATACATCTGCTAATGTTGTCACCTGGAAGCCAGGGAGATGAAATGCTTTGTTTTTTAACTACTGACTTATTGTGTGTGTGTGTTTTTTTTGTCAATGTGTACTTTGTTTCTTGACTTTTATAGCGTAAATAGTTTATTTTTTCAATACAAGATGTAAGAAGTTAAGAATGTATACTGTATGTCAGAGACTATTTTGATTATACTTTTATATTTACACAATGTAGCACATTAAAGCTATCATTTCTACATATGTGATGTTTTATGTTTATATTGAAATACCTGGCACAGAGCCTCAAGGTGGCAGTGTTGAAGCTGCTAAGATTTAGCATGATAGTAACAGTAATAATGTAAGAATGCTTTCTGCATTAAGCTAACCAACAGGCCACAACAGTTAGTATAACAGCTTTGACCGTAAGTGCTATAAAAAAAAAATTGTGACAGGCTTCATCATTTGTTGAATCATACGTACACAGTTGAGGCCCTGAAATGTTGTAAGTGTTCTTCAGTGAATTTCTGTAACTTCAAGGAAAGGAAAGGAAGTGAAAGCTCATTCGACCTGCGTCATAGGTAAGTGTGCTTAGAAAGTTATATTATCACTCAGTATTTAAAATACTCGAGGCAACAGCTGAGACAACAAGTACACACACCATCACACCAGAGCAGTACTGATACAATAAGAAACAAATGATCAATGCTGCTTTGTTTACTGATTGACAACAAATATCCTCTGCAACAATTAAAATGACAGACTGCAGATCCTTAGACATGATCTCTTAATTGTTAACAAAGACTTTTATTCTAAGTTTAAAAAAAGTGCAAGGGCATTAACAATAATAACAATAAAAAGTGCACTGCCATCTACTCCTGATCTGCAAATACACTACAGAGTGAATACAAACATTGTACAGCTACGCCCTCTAGTGATAAGTATAAGCATCGGTTTTGACACAAATATCAACAGTTGGTTTATACATGGTTCGAGGTGGGGCATCTGTAAGTTAATCGCAATAATAGCATTTGTTCTAAAATGGATAGAAACATTTCGCTTAAGTAAAACACAAACGTATTAATATAATTTAATTTCGGATCAGCAGTTTCAAATAAAAACTAGTACTCTACCTTTAGGTAAGCATCCCAAACCTCCTTGCCTTATACATATTCCAATAATCACTCGTCTTGCAAAATGTGTAGAACAGATTGTTACCATTTTTATCGGAACACTGTATATCCTCAAACTCCTTTCGAAACATACATTCAGAATCGAACCGGTACAATTTCAGTCAGAATCTCCCACTACTTCCACGTTCAACGACACACCCCAAACACTTGTCAAGACTAGAGGCTATGACTGGTTGGCAGTATGACAACAAACCTAAAGGTGTTTCCGATTGGCTATTGTTGGCCGGTCTGGGAGAGTTGCCAAGTTTGTTTCTAGGTTTGCTTAAATTTGTTTGACGTACCTAAAGGGGCATATAAATGACTAATCATTTGCTACTGGTAGTTATTTTTTGTCATATCGTTAAAAACAGTTTGCCCGGTTGCAGTGTTCGTCACACACAATAATACTTTACTTGATATTTTAGTATCTAGTAAAGGGCTTAATAAATATAATTTTAGTGAATCTTAAACAAGATATTTTGGGTCCACTTAAAACAAGTTTACCTTTTTATTAAGACCATGCCAATGTCTTTAAAGCGATTAAAATTGAAAACATAAGACATCAATGTTTACTTAATTTTGTTTTAAATTTTGCTTGTTTCTCCCAAGTTATCTGGCAACATTGAACGTCCTTACGTTCAACGTCAAAAGTTTTCTGAACAAACAAGGCGGAGCTATTAAATTAATTTGTTACCAAAAATAATATAAAAGTATGTGTAAAATTAATACTGTAAAAAAGTTCAAATACAAAAAAATAAATGTGATAAAAAATAAATGTCTCATTGTATGAATATATATAAATTGTATGTATTTACATTGTAACCTGAAACAAGAATCAGACTAAATATACAATTATTTTTTAAAGCAAGAGTTTAAAAAAAGTGTATTATTAAGCTTCAACGCAATATCAAACTGAGGTCTACAAAAATGTGTCTAAGTTAAAATACAAAAAAAAAAAAAAAAAAAAAAAAAAAACCCCCCTTCCTTGGTGTGTGTGTCCACTATGCTTGTTTTCGCGCGTCCCCACACCTGTTCCCTATCAGCCAATCAAGGCAGACAGAGCACACAGCGACGCACAGGGTAATTAAAGCGCAGCGGTGCTTGTTTGGTAAGTAAAATTGAAATATAAGCCATAATATTATGCGTTTATGGAGCACAATGTCTCAAATTCGCATCTATGTGATATTATTTTAATTGGAGATACGATATATTCATGTTGCTGCTGTAATAAAGTTTACACTCGATAGCTGGCGTAGCCGTTAAGCCGCCATCTTGGATCAAAACAAATTACCGCAACGAATACTAACTAATTTACTAGTTAAATTATACGTTTTAATTTATTATTGACTATGAATTGTGTGAGCTCATATTGTTGTGGTAATGTAAGAGCCTGCTGATAAATTCAGAAGTTATAAGTGAGGGAGTCGTTTGGTGTCGTACGTAGTAAAACGGTAAACTGAAGAACGGTCATTTTGGACCATCTTCCTGTTTTTTAATCATATTGTTGAATATCAGGCTTCGAGCTAAACTCCAATTATACTGAAAGACTCTAAAACAGACTCAAGTCTCCAGGCATTTGTTGTAATTGCTTAAATTTTCTGTTTCTTACTTTCGGTACCAATTCTACCATACAGTATATCACCCGTTGACAGCCCCTGCCCCCTACAACTCAGCATAGAAATGAGCGGTAGATAACGGATGATGGATGGATATACTGAATTATATACAGTATATGTATATAAATTAGTATTTATTGCTATTGGTATATCAGTCTTTATCTTTATTTAAAAATACATGTTTACAGTACATATACATATGTATATACATATATGGATATACAGTATGTACATATGTATTGTATATTACTTTATATTTTTGGATTTTATATTTTTATTCTATTCTATGCTATTGTTAATTTTTATATGCTGCCAATTTTTGTTTTTATCCATATTCTATTCGATTTTATTCTTTTTATAACTGTTCTTTGCACCATCGGGATCTGGTGAAATTTCTATGTCATTGTCTGTTGTCAATGTCATTGACAAAAACGCTTCTTGATTTTATATATATATATATACGTGGTCCTTTGGAATCATTGCCAATTTATGTAAGTGGTGCAGTTTTCAGGTGAACCACCAAGTGGCAGTGTAGGACCGCAAAAAAAAATCCATATAAGTCAGCGACTCCTTTTTTTCTATTTCTGATTGTTGTTGATATTTCATGGTGGTCCTATGGAGGTCTTTGTAAAAAAAAAAAAGCCTATGGAGGTCTTTGTACAAAAAAAAAGAAAAAAAAAGCTGTTCCCACTACAACTAAGTAAGAGTTCGGCCACTTAACCTTTTACTTTAATTACATGAGGATCTTCACATGGTAATGGACGTAAATACACACAAGTGTCACATTGTCCCCTGGTAATGTTGCAATGAGTGGTGTAAATGAGACGTGAGGAGGATTGAATTGTTGTTTACTTGTCGTTTCCCAAGGACACGGAGGAGATCTGCTGCGACGTGCATCTTTGGAGACAACGAGACAGATTTAAGAATGACGACCAACGATGGGGGCGAGACTGGCAGAGAAGCAAATGCACTGGGGAGTCTCAGGAGGCGGACAGATGGGAGAGGTAAGATGTTTAAACTGTCAGGAGATAGAAACTTCTGTGTCAGCCAACCGTGAGAGTGAGGGAAGTTGGCCATTCGGTCACTGAGAGTTTAATCTGAGCTCAGTTGGGAAGTTCTGATTTCGTCAGATTTAACCCCGGGCCCTTATCTAAGTACCTCTCAGTGGAGGAGAGGATAGGACAGGGGGGAAAAAGAAGAGAAAGGAAAGCTGAGCAAGTAGCAGCAGCAGGAGGAGGAGGAGGGGAGGGGGGATTTGCAGACAATGACTTTGTACCATTGGGAAAAAGTGGTTGAATGAAGCACAAAAGACAAAGGCTGGACATAGACAGACAGAGAGAGAGAGGATACTTTAAGATCATGCAGCAAAAAGACAGGAGGCGCTCCTTCCAGGAGTCTCCCAGAGGAGGTAACAGGCTTCTGATGCTTCATTTCCTCCTTTTCAACCTTCTCCTCACTCTGCCTGTCCCCAGTGGAGACACATGGCCTTCACATCTTCGTTTACTCTGGAGGAACATGGTTTTTTTCATAACTTTCATAAAAAAAAAACCCCCTTCCTCACCACCGTCTCACAGCTCCTCTCCTTCGCCTCCTCTGTTTGTTTACTCCCCTCCATAATGCAGGGATTAATTTCTTAAAGCCGATTTGTGCTCCCCGGCAAAGAGCAGGGAGAAGAACTTTTGTACTCGGAAGTTTCCCCTTCACACTAGCTTAGAGGTGTACGGCTCCAGCACTTTAATCTTTGAAAAAGAGCACAGAGGAGAGGAGCAGGGGATAGAAAAAGGAGAAGAGAGGAGAGAGGACGCTCCACACACAGCTGGGAATCACTAATGTCTTTACACAACTTCCTCCTCTTGCTTTTCCATCTGCCTCTTTGGATTCTTGTGTCCTGTCTTTTACCTTTTATCTTTTTTTTTGTTTTCACTTTCATTCCCTGCAGCGCTTGTCTATCGTCAAGTGTTTGATGTAAAAGTTACAAAGGATGAAGTCGACGCAGTGTCTTTTGTTAAAGTCTAATTGAGGCCAGGATTGAGGCCATTTTTGTCAAATTATGTCTAACATTTAGCCTTTGTTAGGCTAATGTTAACTAGCTTTTTATACATTCTTACCACAGGCCTCGCTGCTATTTTTAAGTTGACCTCTAGTTGGCCTCTAGTCATGCACTAAGGTAGTGTTTTAGGAAACCGGTTATCTTTTTTGCAGTTTAACTTTATCTGTAATAGTGTTGATGGACATAACATTCCTGGAAGTGATTTAATTTCTTTTTTTCACATCCTGAAGTCATTTTTTGTAAAATCTTACAACTTTAAGCAATGGGTTTATACATTTTTGACCTAGTTTGTTTTGAGTTTTAACCATATTTTTGGTCAGCAGATTTTTGATTTCATTACATTTCAGCTATTTAAGTTTTTTAGCAGTGTTAGCAGTTTCTAAACATTATTTAGTAATCTTTATGTATTGTTGAATTTGTTTTTTTGGCTAACCCATAGCTACTTAGATTTGTAGCTAACCTCTAGCTATGTTTGTCTTATACCTTCATAGCTAGCTTTTTATGGTTAAAACATATATTTAAACTAATATTTCATTTTTTGTCAATTGTTCAAGTCTTTGTTTTGCTATCTTGCTTAAGTTTTAGTTAAAGTATTTTGTTTTACTGATGTTTAGCAGTTGTCCAACTATAAGCAGTCTTGTTGACTCAATTTTAGCTATTGTTTTTTTAATCATTTTTAAACAGTATAATTCAAACATAATTCTAGTTCACATCAGTGTTCTGTAGTTTAATATTTGATGTCTTTTGGCTAACTTAACTGGCAAAATCTATTTCTAATCTCTTTTCTTCAATCTCCTCCATTAGCTGTCATTTCAGCTGCTTCTCTGCTTGTTTGTCAGTATATTATTACTATTGTTATAACAATGATACATTTTTTGTCTTTTGTTATAAAAGATTTCAACCAAAGCCAATATTTTTTAAAACAGCTTTTGGAGCCGGAGCAGCCGAACCAGACTCTGCCCAGCAACCTGTGAACAAGCTGATGTTGATGATGGCGTAGGAGGCTGAGACGGCAGCAGAAGAGGAAACTTATTAAGTTTCAAACTCGAATCCTCGGCTCCTTAAGAAGGTAATATTAAAAATATAATATATGGACGGCTCCTGCAAGTGTGTGTGCAAAAAACAAAATGGTCTCATAATTTTCTTTTATGCCCATGGATGGGTTTTATTATGCGCGCGCACTCTGACCTGCATGAGCCGGCACAGATGCACAAACCGGTGTGTGCCCACTTTCACCGTCCCACACAGCTGCCCACAGCAATCCCACGCAATGTTCATTTGCATTTCCAATGATTTCATGTGGGCTCAGTGCTGGTCTGAAGGTAGGCGTCAGATAATAAAAATCTGAAGTAATAAAACCAAAGTCCTGGAGAAAAGAAGAAGTAAGGAGTGGAGAAGGTGCAAATTAAAGTTGTAGCACTTTAGATTAGTGCCCGAGGCTGGGGCAGCTGGGAGGCTGGAAAAAAAATGGTTATTGGTTTATATTTGCACAGAAAGAAAAGTTACAGGTTCAGAGTTAGTGTTAATATTAATATTACTTCATTATTTGAGTCTTTTCACCTTTAACTAAAGTCAGTGTTAGTGTGAAGTGTAAGCCAGCCACTAGGGTACACTTTGTTTTGCTATCTTGCTTAAGTTTTAGTTAAAGTATTTTGTTTTACTGATGTTTAGCAGTTGTTGACAGTCTTGTTGACTCAATTTTAGCTATTGTTTTTTTTAATCATTTTTAAACAGTATAATTCAAACATAATTCTAGTTCACATCAGTGTTCTGTAGTTTAATATTTGATGTCTTTTGGCTAACTTAACTGGCAAAATCTATTTCTAATCTCTTTTCTTCAATCTCCTCCATTAGCTGTCATTTCAGCTGCTTCTCTGCTTGTTTGTCAGTATATTATTACTATTGTTATAACAATGATACATTTTTTGTCTTTTGTTATAAAAGATTTCAACCAAAGCCAATATTTTTTAAAACAGCTTTTGGAGCCGGAGCAGCCGAACCAGACTCTGCCCAGCAACCTGTGAACAAGCTGATGTTGATGATGGCGTAGGAGGCTGAGACGGCAGCAGAAGAGGAAACTTATTAAGTTTCAAACTCGAATCCTCGGCTCCTTAAGAAGGTAATATTAAAAATATAATATATGGACGGCTCCTGCAAGTGTGTGTGCAAAAAACAAAATGGTCTCATAATTTTCTTTTATGCCCATGGATGGGTTTTATTATGCGCGCGCACTCTGACCTGCATGAGCCGGCACAGATGCACAAACCGGTGTGTGCCCACTTTCACCGTCCCACACAGCTGCCCACAGCAATCCCACGCAATGTTCATTTGCATTTCCAATGATTTCATGTGGGCTCAGTGCTGGTCTGAAGGTAGGCGTCAGATAATAAAAATCTGAAGTAATAAAACCAAAGTCCTGGAGAAAAGAAGAAGTAAGGAGTGGAGAAGGTGCAAATTAAAGTTGTAGCACTTTAGATTAGTGCCCGAGGCTGGGGCAGCTGGGAGGCTGGAAAAAAAATGGTTATTGGTTTATATTTGCACAGAAAGAAAAGTTACAGGTTCAGAGTTAGTGTTAATATTAATATTACTTCATTATTTGAGTCTTTTCACCTTTAACTAAAGTCAGTGTTAGTGTGAAGTGTAAGCCAGCCACTAGGGTACACGAAGCCGTGTTTATAGTGCCGGTCCCAAGCCCGGATAAATGGTGAGGGTTGCGTCAGGAAGGGCATCTGGCGTAAAACGTTTAGCTAAATCAAATATGCAGATCAATAAAACGATTTCCATACCGGATCGGTCGAGGCCCGGGTTAACAACGACCGCCAACAGTGCCGTTGACCAACAGGGCACTGATGGAAATTGGACTACTGTTGGTCAGAGTCAGAGCCAGAGACAGAGAAGAAGAGGAGGGCGTTTGGTTAGGAGAAAAAGAGAAAAGATGAAGAATAGAAGTGTTAGTCTGAAGTTTGGAACTTTGAATGTAGGTACAATGACAGGGAAAAGTAGAGAAATAGCTGATGTGATGGAGAGAAGAAGAGTAGATATTTTGTGTGTGCAGGAGACCAGGTGGAAGGGCAGTAAGGCTAGAAACATTGGAGGAGGCTACAAACTGTTTTATCATGGTTCAGATGGGAAGAGAAATGGAGTAGGGGTGATCCTAAAGGAAGAATATGTAAGAAATGTGGTAGAGGTGAAAAGAGAGTCAGACAGGTTGATGTGTGTGAAGGTAGAAGTAGAAGGAGAGATGATTAATGTTGTTAGTGGTTATGCCCCACAGGTGGGCTGTGAGTTGGAAGAAAAGGAGAAGTTCTGGAAGGAGCTAGATTGGATGGTAGAGAGTATCCCCAGGAGAGAGAGAGTGGTGATTGGAGCAGACCTAAATGGTCATGTAGGGGAAGGGAACAGAGGAGATGAGGAAGTGATAGGCAGGTTTGGTGTTAGGGAGAGAAACGTAGAAGGACAGGCAGTGGTAGATTTTGCAAAGAGAATGGAAATGGCTGTGGTAAACACATATTTCCAAAAGAAAGAGGAACATAGGGTGACTTACAAGAGTGGAGGCAGGTCCACACAGATAGATTATATTCTATGTAGAAGATGTAATCTGAGGGAGATTAGAGACTGTAAGGTGGTGGCAGGTGAGAGTGTAGCCAAACAACATCGGATGGTAGTGTGTAAAATGACGATGGAGGTGACAAAAAGGAAGAGAGTGAAGACAGAGCAGAAGATCAAGTGGTGGAAACTAAGGAAAGAGACATGTTGTGAAGACTTCAGGAAGGAAGTAAGGGCAGTTCTGGGTAGTGTTGAGATATTCCCAGATGATTGGGAGACTACAGCTGCAGTGATGAGGGAGACAGGTAGGAAGGTGCTAGGTATGTCCTCTGGGCAGAGAAAGGAGGACAAAGAGACCTGGTGGTGGAATGAGGAGATCCAGGAGAGTGTGCAGAGAAAGAGATTAGCGAAGAAGAGATGGGACAGTGACAGAACAGAAGAGAACAGACTGGAGTACAAAGAGAGGACAAGGGAGGTGAAGAGGGAAGTGGCCAAGGCCAAACAAAAGGCATATGAGGAGTTGTATGAGAGTTTGGAAACAAAGGAAGGAGAAAAGGAGTTGTATAGATTGGCGAGACAGAGAAATCAAGCTGGGAAGGATGTGCAGCAGGTGAGGTTGATTAAGGACAGAGAGGGGAATGTGATCACAAGTGAGGAAAGTGTGCTGAGAAGATGGAAGGAATACTTTGAGGAGTTGTTAAATGAGGAAAATGAAAGGGAAAGTAGAAACGAGGAGCCAGAGACTAGTAGGAAGAAGGTAGATCAGGTTAGAAAGGATGAAGTTAGAAAAGCCCTGAAGAGGATGAAGAGTGGAAAGTCAGTTGGTCCTGATGACATACCAGTGGAAGTATGGAAGTGTTTAGGAGAAGTGGCAGTAAATTTCCTGACTGGTTTGTTTAACAGAATTTTAGAGACTGGCAAGATGCCTGATGAGTGGAGAAAAAGTGTTCTGGTGCCAATTCATAAGAAGGGTGATGCACAGAGTTGTAACAACTACAGAGGGATAAAGTTGATGAGCCATACAATGAAGATTTGGGAACGAGTAGTTGAAGCTAGGTTGAGGCAGGAAGTGGAGATTTGTGAACAACAGTATGGTTTCATGCCTAGGAAGAGTACCACAGATGCAATATTTGCCTTGAGGATGTTGATGGAGAAGTACAGGGAAGGTCAGAAGGAGCTGCATTGTGTATTTGTAGATCTAGAAAAGGCATATGACAAAGTGCCAAGGGAGGAATTGTGGTTTTGTATGAGGAAGTCAGGAGTGGCAGAGAAGTATGTTAGTTTGGTGCAGGACATGTATGAGAATAGTACAACAGTAGTGAGGTGCGCTGTTGGGAGGACAGAAGACTTCAAAGTGGAGGTGGGACTACATCAAGGATCGGCCCTGAGCCCCTTCTTGTTTGCTGTGGTGATGGACAGATTGACAGATGAGGTCAGACAGGAGTCCCCATGGACTATGATGTTTGCAGATGACATTGTGATCTGTAGTGAGAGTAGGCAGCAGCTAGAAGAGAACCTAGAGAGGTGGAGGTTTGCACTAGAAAGAAGAGGAATGAAGGTCAGTCGCAGCAAGACAGAGTACATGTGTGTAAACGAAAGGCAGAACAGTGAAATAGTGAGGCTACAAGGAGCAGAGGTGGTGAAGGTGCAGGAGTTTAGGTACTTAGGATCAACTGTTCAGAGCAGCGGAGACTGTGGAAGAGAGGTGAAGAATAGAGTACAGGCAGGATGGAACAGCTGGAGAAAAGTGTCAGGAGTGATCGGTGGCAGAAGAGTGTCAGCTAAGGTGAAGGGAAAGGTTTACAGGACAGTGGTGAGACCAGCCATGATGTATGGTTTAGAGACAGTAGCAATAGGCAGAAGACAGGAGGAGGAGCTGGAGGTGGCAGAGTTAAAGATGCTAAGATTCTCTTTAGGAGTGACAAGAATGGACAGGGTCAGGAATGAGGTCATTAGAGGGACAACACAGACAGGAAGGTTTGGAGAAAAAGCTAGAGAAGCCAGATTGAGATGGTTTGGACATGTGCAGAGGAGGGACAGTGGATACATTGGTAGAAGAATGTTAGAGATGGAGCTACCAGGTAGGAGAAAGAGAGGAAGGCCAAAGAGGAGATATATGGATGCAGTGAGGGAGGACATGCAGGTAGTTGGAGTCAGAGTAGAAGATACAGAGAACAGGGAGAGATGGAAATCAATGATTTGCTGTGGCAACCCCTGAAAAAGGGACAAAGCCGAAAGAAAAAGAAGAACTAGTGTGTTCAGCTGTTTTTGTGTTCGACTGAATCTTTTCATTTCCACCTTTAGTTTTAAAGCAACACTAATCAGTGCAAATAACTCATGAACAAATACTACTTTGAGACTGACCAAAGCTCTTCAGGCAGCTGTGTTATGACTACAGATTAAATGCTTCTTGTAGAACTTCAGACAGTCTCGGGTGTCATCGACCAGGTTATTTATCCATTGAATTTAACCTACATTTTCAAACGGAACAATATGTTTTTAGAGAAAACTGAAGAATAATAGCCTTAAAAATACTCACTTTTTATATTTAAAATATAAGCAACCTCTGTGTCATAACGAACAAAGTGATGCCGTTGTTATTTTATTTCTTTTTTTTTATGCTAGTCTGACTGTTTTTCTGCAGCCTACATGCTGTGCACATTTTTTGTCTAACATAATGTGGAACTAGTCAAAGTGAAGGCTGTTAGTTTTTAGTAATTTTAATTTAAAAGATTTACCATCG